CATCATCATCATCATACACGTTAGCTAGAGGTGGGAAACACCTCAGCTACTGTACCGCAATACATAGAAAAAAGGAGAAAAAATGCAACTGGTGCAAGCCGGCTGAGCTACCGGTAACGGATGGGCATTGTTCCGGTAAGCTTCCAGCCTGTTACTGTGCATTAAAAAAATTCCTATGCAAGTAGTGAAATCGTGGTTGGACAGGGAGGCTAAGATGGATGGGATGGGTGGGACAAAGAAACTCACAGCACGAACGCCACCGAGGTCGGCTCCTAGCCATATCAGCAAGTGTATCCAGCCAAACGTGTTCATCGTCTTTCGGACCACAACCAGGGAGCCGAGACGCTCCAACCGAGGCCAACTCAGAAGTGAGGGCCTTAATTCCTCTCGACCAAGTCATGGCTTGGCCACCCCTCCTCTTCTTCCATCTACACCACCGGCGCGCAAACAACGCACATCGCGGGAGTCGGTGGGCTGACATACGTAACACGTGGTCGAACCATCGGAGCCTGTTCCGTGAAATAACGGTGTTGAGCTGTTCTTTTACATTTTCTGTGCCGTAAACAAGGCGTTGAACACGCTCGTTGCTTACTAGGTGTTCCCACCAGATGTGAGCTAAATTGCGAAGGCACCGGTGGTCGAGCGGAACTAGCCTCTTTTTATCCACTGGCCTAAGGGGCCAGGTTTCACAGCCATACATTAGGGTCGAACGTACCGCTGCATTGTGCACCTTACTCTTCAGGGCAAGAGTGATGTCGCGCCGGCGCCATAAGTGGCGAAGGTTAGCAAAAGCACCTCGAGCTTTATCTATACGGTTCGTGATCTCATTCTCAATCCCACGGGCGCTGATACAACTTCCCAGGTAGTTGAATTTTTGAACGACTTCTAGCTGATCCCCACCAAGGGCCAGCGAAGGAGGCGGTCCAGGCCAATCTTGAAGAAAAGCTTTGCACTTTGATGGTGCAAAACAAAGCCCGAAGCGGCTGACAGCCAGTGCTAATCTGTCCAGCGCGGATTGACACGTCTGGTATTTGTCACAGATTAGGGCAATATCGTCAGCATACTCCAAGTCAAGAAGTCGTTCACCTGGGAGCAGATCCACACCTTCTAAGTCGTGTCCTGTGAACACGATTTCCATGACTTTATCAATAGCGAAGTTGAAGTGGAAAGGTGACAGCGGGCATCCTTGTCTCACACAGCTGGAGATAGTTAAAGCCGACGACAACTTGCCGTAAGCCCTTACTCTGACTGAGCTACGCGCGTATAATGCTCGGATAATATTTACATATTTCTCAAGCACACACGTTTCCTGAGTAGACAGTCCGAAAGTGCAGGTCTCTCCACCGAATCGAATGCACCTTGGATATCGAGGAACACGACAACGGTGGGACGCCAATGTATGTGACGATGCTCCTACAACTGACGCAAGGTGAAGATGTGGTCAATGTAGCCACGACCTCGACGAAACCCGGCTTGCTCTTCACGAATCTGGCTTTCACGAGTGTCAGTCAGTCTGTGAAGGATGACAAAGACAAGCAATTTGGAGGCGATGGAGATCAGACTGATTCCTCTATGGCTGCCGCATTCCGATCGTGAGCATCCCTTGAAAATTGGGACTATGATGGAGCGGCTCCAGTCGGTTGTGACAGTTTCCTGCTCTCACAGTTTGACTAGTAACTCGTGTAAATCATCCACAAGAGCAGGTCCCCCGAATTTGAAGAAGGCTGGAGGAAGATCATCAGGTCCCGCGGCTTTATTTAACTTCAACAGTGCGATCTCACGTTCGACTTCTGAGCGAGAGAGTGGATCCAAAGGGACAGCCCACAGAGCGTGGTGATCACTGGCCGGCGAAAAATCTAACAATTCCGACCGATTAAATTGTCTTCCAAAGTGCTCAGCCCAACGCTCTAAGCGTTTTGATAAGTTGTGGATAGGCTGCCCACTCTCGTCACTTATAGTTTCACCAACACCAGATCTTCTGCTGCTCGTTTCCCGTATCAGCCCCGGTTAAGTTACGATAGTTACCAAGGGCAGCGGCCATTTCCATCTCTGATGCACGATGAGACCACCAGAATTCGCGGTCTCTCTTCAGGCTAGCACGGAGTTTTGCCCGGAGCTCTTTGCGAGTTTCATTGTGTTCGCTTTCAGCCGGAATATGCCGGCGAGCATCGATAAGTTCCAGAGACTGCGAAGAGACCCAGTGTCCATGTTGGCGATTAAGTTTATGACATGAGGATTTTCCTGCTGCTATTAAGGTCTGGTGAATGTGAGACCAGTGCGCTTCAATTGCATCCAGTGACCGTTTATCCAACTCGCTTGACAGCGTACTTTGATAGGCATTCAGAATGGCTGGTTTCACCAGTTGGCTGGTGTCAATGCAGTCACAACTTCGTCGCGGGCGTCCGCCAATGCGCATCCGCATGTCAACACATACAAGTGCATGGTCGGTGTCCACACCTGTGCTCCAAATCGAGCGACAGTTCTGGACGCAGCCTCTCCGTCGGTAATTTATCGCAATGTAATCGATTTGCGTCCATAGCTGGTTCGAGGCTGGTGGGCGCCAAGTCACCCTCCGGTGGGTGCTGTGTCGGAAATTAGTGCTCACAAGAAATAAGCGAGCATCTTCACACAAATGAAGTAACCGCTCACCGTTATCATTACGGGAGCCTACATCATGTTGGCCGTCCAGATGCAGTCCATCAATGGATAACTTTCCAACTTGAGCGTTCAGATCCCCAGCCAGCACTACAGTGTCCGAGCTTCTTCTGTGGCGGAGAAGCTCGTTCAATTGGCAATCGAAGTCGTCATTTTCCGAGTCATCGCTACAGTTTGTGGGTGCATAGGCAGCGATAACGAATAGGCACCTGTTAGTTCCACGTGACTTCGAAGCTTTGAACCATCCAGCCAATCGGACCGCAAACAACCGGCTACTGATTGGAATCCAGTCAACTAGCGTAGTTTCAGCCCGGGGACTCAGGGCAATACCAACACCGGCTTTGCCGTTGCTCGAAGCTGCATCGTCACCTGATAGACGCAATGAGAAAGTGCTGCTGGTGTCACCTGAAGGGGACCGCAAACTGAGCATAGAGCTCGAGTCTTGCAGGTAGGTCTCTGATAAGCAGCAGATATCAATCGATAGGGTCTCTATTGTTCGGGCAAGTGCTGCCTGTTGACCGATGTGAAGCAATGTGCGAACATTGAGGCATGCCAATCTGAAGGAGGATCGAGGGCTCCAAATGGAAGCTGATGAACTGGAATGGGCCGCTTGCTTGGACATGGGCCTGTTAACAGGGCAGGAATGACGCTCCGCGTTCACATGTGAGTTGAAACTGAAAGACAAACGACTATTGAAGGAAGATGTGGGAAGGCCGAGAATTGGGGGGTTGAAAACAGGGGGGATAAAAGTGAAGCTGGAACTCGACGATAAGGGTGAAAAAGCGTACGAGGCGGAATAAGAAGGTTGGAAGTCTTGAGCAGTAGCATCCAAACTCTTATCCATCCTGCTCGATGCAGCAGACAAGGCCCCGTTGATTATCCTCTGCGGTGATCAGAGCATCAGAAATTTGTTTGAAGAGAGATGCGTTATATTGCGTGGGCAGAATACTGTCAGGTTGCCCTGGCCTAGACAGGGGAACGATTAGGGTTCTCAACCAAAGCCTTTGGTTCAAAAACCTGACCGCAAGGCAGCGGGTTTGGCGTTAGGCTACAAGGAGTCCGTTTTAAGGAATAAGGAGCCACCTTCATTTTAACCCCCAACCTGGAGGATCAGGAGTCTGAGATTTCCTGGGCTCTAACTATTGGCCAAGTTTGGTATGAGTGGCTCTGAAGGTGCAAAAATGCGTCGACCATCATAGTTCAATGGGTGGTTGAGGCACGCAAACCATCGCACCACGGTAAGGTCTAGCCTCATCAAGGCCATCATAGTAGCTCCAACACCCAGCATTTGACAGAAATGAAGTATCTTTGGGAGCGTATTCCTACAATCTGCGTTATTTGCAAACTTTTGCGACCCTGGAAGATCCATTACGAGAAATAACAGAGAAAAGAGCGTCGTTCACTTGTGGAAGCGACCAGCAAAACATTTTCGATAAATTGAAATGGAGGGTTTTATCTGCTCCCTTAGTTGCCATTTTCAATGAATCATGCTGCACTTTAGTGCCGACTGTAGCGTCTGATGTTGGTCTTGGTGCTGTTCTCTCGTAGCTACAAAACGGAGAGAAATGGTTATTGCTTACGCATCCCAGATATTCTCAGATTCTGATGGGAGAAAAATCCTCTAGCTTGTGTGCGGGCTTGTGAAAAATGGCATCTTTTCCTGTTCGGTCGTCGTTTCACTCTACGAACTGATCACTCCGCCCTTACAGTCCTCCTCAGCAATCGATCTGAAGGATCGCGTCTAATACAGCTCGATCATTGGCATGCTAGACTCCTTAACTACCATCTTCAAATTGTGTACCGACTGGGTTTGCAAATCTAAGTTGCTGATGGATTATCTCATTTACCCGTGGGGATGGAAGATGACAAGAAGAGACTCAGGGAGGCAGTATTAGTTTCCAGCCTTGGCTCCGATCTAACTGCAGTGACGATCGAGGAATTATGGATGGAAAATGCCGACGACCCGTTACTACATCAACAGCAACTATGTACAATAGGTGTGGCCCAAGTATAACAAAGCCCCCGGTGAGTTCATTTCATCTTAAGAAATTCGTGATGAACTGTCAATGATAGCTGGTTGTCCGATGCGTCGTTCGGTGTTTATAGCTCCACGTCAGTTGGTAAATGAAATAATTGCTTGTGCACATGAGGGATACCCGATTATCATTAGGACCAAAAACCGAGCGAATCCCTACTTTTGGTGACCACGATTGGCATCTAGCCTTTAGACATTTGTGGTGGACTGTAACACTTGCCGCCAAGCGGGCAAAAGTTCTCAGCCAGTTGAAGTCTCAATACAGCCTATTACTTACCCGATGAAGCTGCGGGCTAAGATCGCCGGTGATATTATGGATCCTTTTGCCACCGCTCTTACGAATAAGCGAACTCTACTTGTAGCTACATGTTTTTACAGTAACTGGCCTGAACTCCACATGTGCGATCAAGAGACGACTTTGGTCGTGTTACGCTGGCTTAAACACTCGTCCAGTCGTTTCGGACTACCGGAAGAAATAGTCACTGAGAATGGACCACAGTTCTATAGTCACGACTTCGCTGTTTTCTCCCAGTGCCATAACATAAAACATTCCTGAACTGCACCACACATTCCTGCGGCTAATAGCACGGTGGAGCGGCTAAACCCATCCCTCAAGTAAGCCATACAGGCCATCCAATGAGGAGGATCGGATTTGAAGGTGCTGTCTTAACAGCTGTGTTTGCTAACAGAATTTGTAATCACAGGGCTATCGGAAGAATGCCGGCGAAGCCGATGTTAAGAAGGTCCTTACGAACCCAACTAAATGCTGCACATAATCTGTCATCTGCGGGAGGTGCAGTAGGTTCAAATCGCATAGCACATTACCGAAATTCCTACGCCAGACCGTCAACTCCTATGCTGGAGCATACGTTCGCATCAAAAGCGGGCTACGACTAAAGGCCTACCAGCTCTATCCTCACCGTTGCGAATGACCCAGAGACTAGGTCCAGGGACCCACCGATTAGAAAACGACTTGATTGCTAACGCACGTCTGTTGCACATGCTCCATGGACCAGCTACCCAGTATCAAACCATGTGTGAACACCAGGCCCTAATCGCTGCTGCCGCGAAGTCAGCCTCGTCGGTCTGCCAGACTTTCGAAGCCTGTCGCTCGATACCAGCCCGCGTGGCTCCACCCTACAAAAGGGGAGTGGTTGTTCTGACCGATTCATCACGATGCCCTCCTCCCATGTTTCATTGGCTGGCTGAAACACAGCAACTCTCTTCTCATTGGTTATGTAAAATCCGGACGGTTAAACCTGACTATTCTGTATGTTGAGTCTGTTACCCCCTGATTGAGTACGGATACACATCCTATCTTTTTCTGTTGCCTTTTTGGTACAACAGTGTTGGATGCACGGCATTTGTGTTCGTACATTCCAGGTGCCATCTGTGATGTCTGCCACGGGCACTTCATGTATTCCGGTTTTCAAGACTATACCGCTTATCTATGGAACCGCAGTTGATGCAACCCACATGTGGGCACTGATAGCTTAGAAAGTTGGAGATTATCAAAATCTTACGACTGTAGAATAGGTTGATCAAGTCTGAAGTGCCAGATTTTGTTAGGAGATTTGTCCGGTAATTATTGTTTTTTGAAACTCCTGAACTTAGCAAATGCGTACCGATTGCGACTTCTACTAACAGCTGGATTATGGACGGAATTTATCATGCTGTACATGTTCTCTTCTCCTACTGTCTTTTGGCTTTTGATGATCTTTTCGCGTGCTCACACATCGTATCTCGTCTTCTGTTCTTTCGTTTTCTTAGGAGGCACTGTGTGAAATGAACGATGAATTACAAGAAAACAGTCGTGACACAGAACGCGAACTGCGCGAGGAGATTGAACAAGGCCGCGCGCAGATCGGCCAACTCGTCCGTCATCTGGATGCGCTGCGAGAGACAAATGCGGATTATGAGAAAACACTGGGCAAGTTTCGTGATCTCGTCACCGAATTGCAGGCACAGAATGCCGATTTATGTCGATCATTGGCCGATGGAAAGCGCCAAAAGGAGGAACTGCAGCAGAGTGCTTTGCGCGCCATACAATCCACCGGCGTTATGTCTCAGGCCCCATTGTCTGTTGGCTTCGGACTAGCCTCGCAGTCGCAGACATTAGCGAAGGTAACTGTGCGGATTAATCGTGTGTTTTATCTTGATTATACTCGACCCGGCGAGCAAAGAGATATCATCTGTGGTGTTTCTCACCTGCATAAACTACGGAGTAAAATTGTATCTATCGCGCATAACAATACAATCAGCCTCAGGCATGCACCAGCGTGCGATCGTGTAACGACGAGGAAGCTTATCTGCGAATTCTTTTTTCTCGGCTTTTGGACGCCTTGCTATGCAACAAGAAACTTGACCTGTACTGTAATTTACTGATCTCTCCCACTCACTCAGCCACCTTGATTGTCAATTTCTGTACTCCTCTCCAGACACCTACCAAATCAGTTAGTGATTAGAGTTTAGACAATGCCATTCTCGTCTTCGTCCCCGTTTCGAGAATTTGTTGGAATAGCACTGATGCTCCTCCTAGAAATTAGCCATGATAGGTAATAGTTTACAGACTGTAGGATCAAGCAGATTTGGTTGGATCATGAGTGTCCCGAGTTGTCTTTGACGGTGGAAGGGCACCACACATGCTGTTTGCTGTCACCTCCTCTATAATCCACTGGCGGTCGACCGTCGTCCCAGAATTGCCCTATGGACCTCAGAGGCTGCTTGTGCTCATCCTCACCTTGATCCCGCTTGTTTTCTGGTGTCATCTTCATGAGTCAGACCTGCTCCCCATTACCCTGTAGTTCTGATCACTAAATCGTCAGTGATTTCAACTGAATTCCTTAAAGTTGATCTTAGTGTACCTCGTTACCTTGTAAGTAAGACGATTAGGTTCAGTTATGGGAAATCCAGCGAAATCTTACTTTTAGTGATTAGCTTTAGAGTAACATTTGCCAACAAAACTTCATCTCAGTTTTCCTATCCTGAAGGATACCGTTTTACTAATAATTATGATAATGGTAATTTAATCAATAAAAATACTAGTGTATCTTCCTCGTTCTGCGTAACACACCCCTTCCAGCACTGTCTTTTACCATTAAATTTTCTCAGAATTTCCACAGGATTGTCTAGATGTTAGGCATAAATGTGGTTCACAATACTATCAAGCATGGTTGCCCTGTTCAAACTTGAAAATATATATGGAGCGCTTCGTGGCGTCCTGACAGAAAGCTCTGTACTTACAAAAGCAAGTATTATTCTCCTCGAAGTGAGGGATAAAGTGTAATTGTATGTGGATAAAAAGAACATTAAAACGCAATTTTAAATGTGCATGATATAGCATTTAATCCAAACAAAGATTTTACTATGCATCCTGGTATTCTAAACAGGTAGTGAGTGACGAGCTATTTCTTTCCCTTCTGCTTATCAGGTGTGCACGAAGTCCGAGACAACCAGAAGGGGTAATTAGTTAGCTCTGTGTGAGGCGGACATGGGTGGCATTATTCAACCAGCTCATGCGTTTTGGCTTAACTAAGTTAGACATATTCGATTAAGAAGTAGGATGGAAAAAGTACGGGATATGGGGATGAAGATGTGGGAACCAGAACCCGTTAGCTTCTCCTTGTTGCCTAACATGAGAGCCACAATAAAAGTGTGGCGGAGTACAAACCCAGACGAGTGAAAATGGGTAGATTCAGTCAGCGCTTCTTTTCCAACTTACACTTTTTAGTATGGCTCTAGGGTAGACATGCCTGTGTAAGCAGAGCACATAGTGGAGACAATTGGGTAGATCAACCTCAATTTGCGAATCCTTTACAGCTCACATTTATTGATATGACTGCGAGGTATGCTTTTCCTAGTACAAAAAATAAGGGGAGTCGTGTGAAGAAAAGTGTGTAGGGGATTCTGTCAGCTTCTCATCTCACCTATTAGACTTCTCTGGGAGGGCCCGATCAAGCAAGGTCACTATGTACAACCTGTTGTCTGTAATCAGTACACTTTTTTCCCACTCACCTGTCAGTTAGTTTTACTTAACTGTTAGGCAGTCAGAACTTGCCTTTTTGAACGCTGCTTGCTATTCACAAGCTCTGGAGACGGTTCCAGATGTAAGCGTATTTGTTTAGGCAGAATTTTCTACTGACATTATTTTGCGTTTTGCACACTGGGAATGAGTACTTGTTGTTCCTAATTGCGCATCTACCCTCTTGTCCGAAGTGAAAAGTCCTATTTAGTGCACCAAGTCAAATTGAAATGTTAAGCCCAACTTCTTGCATCTTAGTCACAGCAGTGACTCCAATTGCAGCATCTTAGTTTAGTTTTGACGAGGGCCTGAAGAGAATCCTATTAAATGAACGCTGTCTGTTCTCTATGCACATGCAGTCGCTTGTAAAAATAATGGAGTGGTTCTCTAGCAAAGGATGAATGTAGATCTTAAACACGCACTGGTTAGAGTCACGCATCGCAATTGACTTCAAGGCAGCCTTCGCACATCGTGACCCGGTCCTTCTTCCCATCCTATTATTCATCTTCTTCCGCTTTTTCATCCCCATTGTCCTGTTCCAATCATTTTTACCCTCTGTTTTCAACCTTCCAATTCTTGGTTCTCCCCCATCTTACTTCACTGGTCGCTTGTCTTCTAGTTTCGACTCACACAATCGTAGCGCGTCGCTCCAGTCCAGTCGATAAGCCCATGTTAATGCAAGCGGACATCAGTTCATCCGTTTGTCTTTGGAGCTCCCAATCGCCAAGACTGGCATTTCTCTACGTACGCACTTTGTTTCAGATTGGTCAACAGGCAGCACTTGCCCGAACACGAGACCCTATCAATCGACATCTGCTGCTTATCAGAAACCCGCCTGCAAAGTGCAAGTTCCGTGATAACCCTGCGACCCCCACAAATGACACTAGCACTATGTACCCATTGCGTGTGTCTGGAGATAACGCAGCTTTAAATACTGGTCACGCCGATGTGGGCAATGCTCGTTGCCCGCAGGCTGAAGCTGTCCTGGTTGACTGGATGCCAGTGGATAGCCGGATGTGCGCCGTTAAACTGACTGGATCGTTCAGAGCTTCGAAGTCGCGCGTAGCAAACAGTGTCTGCTTGTCAGTGTGGCATATGCCTTTACAAAGTGTAATGTTGACTCGGTGAAAGATGATTCCGATCATGAACTGAACGCGCTCCTCCATTACAGAACAAGTCCGGACGCTGTGATGCTGGCTGGTAATCTGAATGCCCAAGTCGGAATATTGTCCACTGATGAACTGCATCTGGGCGGCTAACATGGTGTAATCTCCTGGAATGATAACGATGAGCAGTCGCTATACCTGTGTGAAGATGTTCCTCTACTCATTGTGAGCACTAACTTCCCATACATCACCCACAGAAGGGTGACTTGGCGCCCACCATCCTCGGACCAACCGTGAAAGCAAATCGACCACATTGCGATCAGTTAACGCTGGAGAGCATGCGTTCAAAACTGTCGCTCGATTTGGACTACGAGCGTGGACTCTGACCACGCACACGTTTGTTCCTGCCTTACGGTTCGCTTCGGTGGACGCATGCGGCGACGCTGAGTGCATAGATACATGCCAACTGACGACGTCAGATGTTCTGAATGGGTATCAAGGCACACTAACATCCGACCTGAGTAAGCGCTCTCTGATCACAATAGGAGCCGCTGGTCGCATGCTCACCAGACATTATTAGCAACAGGCATGTCTTCTTGTGTGAAATCAAATTGCAAACCTGAACTTTGGGTCTCTATGCAGGATACTCGGCAACGCCTTCCGGCTGGGAGCGGACACGTGCTAGCCTGAAGAAAGACCGCGAATCATGGTTGTCTCATCGTGCCTCGGAGATGGAAACAGCCGCTGCCCTTGGTAACCATCGGAAGTTATTCCGTCTAATACGCGAAACGGGCAGAAGAAAATCCGATGTTAGCAGGACGATACGTGACTAGGGTGGATGACCAATCCAGTTTGTCAAGACGCTTGGGGCCTTGAGCCGAACACTGAAAAGTAGTTTAATCAGTCAGAGTTACCACCTTCTTCATCAGCCATTGATCGCCCTTTTCTTTGCACCGTCCCCATGGATCGGTCTAACGTGATCTCCGACTGTTGAGCGTAAATAAGTCCGCAGAAACGGATAGGATTTCTCCAGCCACCATAGAATTCGGGGGACCTGCTCTTGTCGATGATTTGCACAATTTACTAGTGAAGCTGTGGGAATAGGAAAATGTCCCAGCAGACTGGAGCCTCTCCATTATAGTCCCAATTATCAAACGGGGCTCGCGCCCTGAATACGGCAACCATAGAGGGATCAGTCTGATCACAGTTGCATCTATGATACTCGCCTCTGTCGTTCTCCATAGACTTAATGGCACCCGTGCAAGCCAGATTCTCGAAGAGCAATCCGGGTTTCCTCCAACTCGCGGATGTGTTGATCACATATTCGCATTACGTCAATAGTTCGGGCACCGCCCTGCTTATCGGCGGTCCGCCGTAGTCATGTCCCTCGACATCAAAGTCGACTTTGACTCGGCTGATTGATGGGCCCTTTGGGATTGTTCTCTAAGGAAATGTGTGCCCGAAAAATACGGCGAATTCATGGAGCCTGAGCTCACCGGGCACTACCTGCATGATGTGGACCCGCTCCCCGGTGATGGACTTCCTGACTTTTAGTACTCCGACGACACTGCCCTTATCTGTGACAGCTTTCAAATATGCCAAGTAGCACTGAACAAATTCGTATTGACTGTCAGTCGTTTCGGCCTATGCTTTGTACCGGTCAAAATGCAGTCCTTCTCCAAGGTTGCCAGAGACCTATTCCTACGTTTATCCTCTTTGCTGATCAGCTAGAAGTCGAAAAACTTAAGTATCTGGGCAGTTATACCAACGTCAGCGGAATGAGAGATGAGATCACAAACCGCATCGCAAAAGCTCGAAGTATTTTTGTCGATCTCTGCCAACTGTGGCGCAGGCGCGGCACCACTCTTGCCCTGAAGGGCTAGGTTTACAATGCAGCCGTTCATTCAACCCTCCTGTATGGGTGCGAAACCTAGCCGTTCCAGTCGATAAACATAAAGAGCCAGTCAAAAATGTCATCATCATTACGCAGACACGCC